AGACCCAGCTCAGAATGAAAGATACACATATACTAAAAGTAAAGGGATGGAAAAAGATATTTCATGCAAATGGAAATGAAAAAAAAGTTGGAGTAGCAATACTTATATCTGAAAAAATAAACTTTAAAACAAAGGTTATAGTAAAAGACAAAGAAAGACACTATGTAAAAACAAAAGGAACAATCCAGTAAAAGGATATATAATCCTTGTAAAAATTAATGCATCCAACATGGGAGTATCTAAATATATAAAGCAAATCTTGATAGAAATAAAGGAAGAGATTGACAGTAATACAGTTATAATAGAGGATTTTAACACACCTTTGACATCAATGGGTAGATCTTACAGACAGAAAATCAACAAGAAAACGGCGGCCTTAAATGACATACTAGAGCAGGTGTATTTAATTGATATCTTCAGAGCATTTCACCCCAAAGCAGCAGAATATACATTTTTTTCAAGTGCACATGAAATATTTTCTAGAATAGACCTTATATTATGATACAAAACAAGTCTTAATAAATTTAATAAGACTGAAATCTTGCCAAGCATTTTCCCTGACCATGACATGAACTTAGAAATCAATCACACACACACACCCCCAAGAAAAACTAAAAAAAAAAAAAAAGGCACAAAGACATAGAGGCTAAATAACATGTTTCTGAACAATGAAATGGATTAATAGTAAGATCAAGGAAGAAAATAAAAGATACCTTGAAACATATAAAAATGAGAACACAACCCCAAATCTATGGGAGACAGTGAAAGCAGTCCTAAGAGGGAAATTCATAGCTTTACGGGCTATCTGAAGAAACAAGAAAAAAATAATCTTTAACAATCTAACTGTACACTTAAAGGAACTAGAAAGAGAACAACAAAGCCCAAAGTGAGTAGAAGAAAGGAAATAATAAAGATCAGAGCACAAATAAATGAAATAGAGTCTAAAAAAACAAAAACAATACAAAAGATCAATGAAATCAAGAGCTGGTTCTTTGAAAAGATAAACAAGATTGATAAATCTTTATCCAGACATCAGTAAAAAGAGATAGAAGACAATAAAGATAAATTTTATAAAAATGAAAATATTTGAACAAACACTTCACTAATATAGATAAATGGAAAGTAAGATATGAAAATATGCTCAACATCACAATCATTAGGAAAATGAAAATTAAAGCCATTATACATTCTTTTAGAATGTTTCTAATTAAAAAAACTACACACAGACAAAAACTGTATCAAATGTGGGCTAGAATGAGAAACAACTGGAACTCTCATACGCTGTTAATGGAAATGTAAAATAATATAATCACTTTGGAAAAGTTTGTCAATTTCATAAAACATTAAATTCCTCTACCATATGACTCAACCATTCCACAACTAGATATTTACCCAAGAGAAATGAAAGTATATGTTCATACAAAGACATGTACATGAATGTTCCTAGCAACTTTAGTTATAATAGCCCAAAACTTCAAACAACCCAAATGTCCATCAACAGTACAGAGAACCTGCACTATATACCATTTCACAAACAAAACAAAACAAAAACGGAATTAAGTGTTGTACATGGAACAGCATGGATGAATTGTAAAATAATTGTGCCGAGTGAATGATGCCCGAAAAAAGAATACATAGTATAAAATTACATTTATACAAAAAATTTTAAATTCAAAGTAAACTATAGTGACAGAAAGCAAATCAGAGAGAGGGAGGGATTGCCAAGGGACACAATGAAGAAACTTTGGGAGTATTGACTATGTTCATTATATTGATTGTGGTGATGGTTTCATGTGTGAGTGCATGTCAAAATTTATCAAACTGTACACTTTTAATAGACACAGTTTATTGTATTATATCAACTATACCTTAATAAAGCTGTTCAGAAAAAAGAAATCACAATCTTAAAAAAATACATGTATACATTTGGGTGATGTGCTTTAAGAGAAACTTTATAACTTTGTTGTATTAGAAAAGGTATATAATAAATGACCCATGAGTCCACCTTAAGAAGCTAGAAAATGAAGAGCAAACACAAAGTTAGTAGAATGAAGGGAATAACAAAGAGTAGAATGAAACAGAAAACATAGAAAAAAATATTATATATTATATCATATTATATCATATTACATTATATTTCACACAAGCCAGTTCTCCATGCAACTACCCAAGTATAAACTTCAAAATGCCACACTGTTGCACTTCCATAAAAGAAAGTGGCTGTGGTTCCAACCATTTTCTTTTAAGCTCTTGAGCTTGGGAAGTTTGTTAGTTATCAGATCATCATCTTCGAAATTTTTTCATTGTGGTCCCTAATAACAGAAAAAAAATTAGATTATTTAGTAATGAGGATTCATTCTCTTCTGTTTAATGAATAAGCAATACTTGTGACCATGAATGGACATGGAAGGGATGCTGAATGCTAGCCACCCACACTTTCCCTAACAAGGAGCCTTAGCCATAGCTTCTGATAATGTCATGTGTGTGTTAAATAAGGTTTATTGTTAGCTTTATCGCCTGTTGTCTATAACATGCAACTTTATTGTACCTTTGCAAACAGGATACATTACTTAAAAAACTAATCAAATTTTTCCATACATATAGCTCTATATAATAGGTTACAGTGCAACACTATTCTTATTACATAATTATAGAAATACTATAGAACCCAAGAGCACAGGGTAAGCAAAAGAAATACAGCCCTGGCCGGTTTGGCTCAGCGGTTAGAGCGCTCGACTGCGGTCCGGAGAGACCCGGGTTCGGTTCCCGCTAAGGGCATGTACCTTGGTTGCAGTTTGTCCCCGGCCCTGGTTGGTCGTGTGGGTGGTAGCCACTCGATGTGTCCCTTTCACATCGATGTTTCTCTCTCTCTCTCTTCCTCTCTCTCCCTCCCACTCTGTCTGTACAAAAAATGGAAAAATGTCCTCGGGTGAGGATAAAAAAAAAAAAAAAAAAGCAAAAGAAATACAATCCTGAGCCATCTGAACAAGACGATTTGATGAATCCTCCTAGTGTAAGTTTAGAGAACACGGAGGGGAAAAAAAACATGCACACTGCAGTCATTCATGAACAAAATACATTAAATACCTGTTCCTTGCTAGACCGGGGTGGAGGTAATGGTGAATTTCAGAGACATGCACACTCGCTCACACTCCCATTTTTTTCTCCTGCTGCCCTCCCACCCCCTGATAACGTCTCCAGAACCGAATTCCTTCCAGCAGGGAGGTTCTCTCTGCACTGACCCGCGTCACCCTGAATTCCAGGCTTCCCAAGTGCCCCTCCAGCAGAGCCCTTGGAGACGGTGGCAATGCTCAGCCCTTCTAGGAGTCGCAGTTGCAGCAGTTTCCTGGCCCATGGCCGCAGACTGCACCTTTCTGGCTACTGAGGCCCACACCGGCAGGGCTGCTTGGAGGAAGGAGGGGCTTTCGGACAGAACTTGCTTGTCCCCAGCGCCCCCTGCCCCGCCCCAGGGCCGCGTCTAAGGGAGGTGGGCCGCCTGGCCCGCGGCCCCAGAATGGAAGGACGTTTCGCGTCCGGGGGATCGGGACGCCCGAGCAACGACAAGTGTGCGCGGCGCGAAGGCGGACGGAGGGCAGGGGACTCGGCGGGCCGCCCCCTCCGGAGCCCCGAGCAAGGGCGGTCCCGCGGCCCCGTCGGCCGGACTCGGGTTGGCGGGTCTTGGCTTGCGAACCGAGTCGGAGCGCCACGCGGTGACGGGCAGCTGTCGCAGCCAGTAGCTGGCATGTCGCCTCCCGCCCTGCCTCCCCGCGTGTCCGTGGACCGGCCGTTGCCCCGCCCACCAGCCCCTGGCCGAGCGCTGGACTCGGGCCCGAGAGCCGGTGGCTCCCACTCCCGCCGGCCAAGCGCTTCCCCAAGCCCCTTGGCTCCTGCGCGTGTCCTGGCCGACAGCACCCAGGCCATCCCCTCCATCGCCCCCAGTCCCGCTAGGGGAACCCTAGCGCCCCCACTACAGTGGGCCAAACCTCGGTGAAGTGAGTGGCGGGAAAGGGGCGCCTGTCCTTAGCATCCCTTGGAAGGACGGTGTTTGCGGAGGTTGGCCTGATGAGGACCGTCCAGGAAGACTTGGTGACTTGTGCGGAAAATGCTGCTTTAAGTACCTTAAGTGTTTTTAGTCCCCTGGGCTGTTGATCAGTGCCCTGAGGCTAGACATCGGGAAGGGAATGGGAGAACTCGCCAACAGCATATTATTTAGCCTTGTTCTCTTAGTTCATGGGTTCCCCATCCCAGTTGATTCTGATGCAAACCACTGACATAGCTAGAAAATTCTGAGCTGTGGTTTTCCAAACTGACTGCATAACCTGCTCTGTGTGAACCGTGGTTTTCTATGATTTTGTGATTTTATTTTCCTCTTTGTAGGTGGGTGGACCCTGATGATGGACGGCCACTCTCACTCTTCATCTTTTCTTTTTAAAATTGTATTCTTATTTACTGATGAGAGAGAGAGAGAGAGAGAGAGAGAGAGAGAGAGAGAGAGAGAGATGGATTGGTTGTTCCAGTTATTTATGCATTGATTGGTTGTTTTCTTTGTGAGTTTAATCCTCACCTGAGGATATTTTTCCATTTATCTTCAGATCGAGTGGGAGGGAGAGAGAGAGAAAGAAACACTGGTGAGAGGGACACATGGACAGGTTGCCTCCCATAGCTCCCAACCAGGGCCTGGGACGAACTCAACAGGTATGTGCCCTTGACCAGAATCCAACCTGGACTCATTGGTCCGTGGGCCGGTGCTCTAACTGCTGAGCCAAACCAACCACGGCTGGTTTTTCCTTGTATGTGCCCTGACCTGTGATGGAATCCCACCACCTTGGCTATTGAGACCACGCTCAACCCAGACAGGGCTCACTCTTCATATTTTCAGAGAACACATACTGGTTCTAAAACTGTCCAAAATATCTCAGGGCGATTTGTCTTCACAGGCCTTTTGAAAGCTAGCCAGAGCAGATCCTTCCTACTGTAGCCCTTTTCAGAGCCCAGTGGGCATGAGCCATTTGCAGAACTTACTGTTAGATTCCCTCCTGGGCACGAAGCACGTGGACAGCGCAGCCCTCATCCGATTCCAGGAGCGGAGCCTGAGTGTGGCAACCCCAGGGTTTAGTGTAAGAAAAATAAGTTTGGGAAAAGAGTTTTAAATTTTAAAAAGCAACAACAAGAAGTTTGGTCCTAAGAGTTTTAAACAGACTTTTTCTGTAAAGAGCTATAGTAAACATTTTAGGTTCCCAAACCATGTGGTTCATGTCACAACTACTCTCCTGTTGTAATGGGAAGCAGCCATAGACGATACATGAAGGAATGGGTATGACTATATTCCAATAAAACTTTATTTATGGAAACTGAAATTTTAATTTCATGTAATTTTTACACATCACAAAATATTATTTTGATTTTTTCCCCCCTACTACTTAAAAATGTAAAAACCATTCGTAGCTTGCAGGACTACAAAAACAAGTAGTGGGCCAAAGGTGGCCAGCCTGCCATAGTTTGCTGAGTCCCAATCTGTTGAACCTCTGCAGGTAATGCCCAGTGATGTCCGAACACTGGTGAATGGATTCGCCAAGAACTCTTTGCAAGCCAGAAGAGAAGGGCTGTATTTTAAGGAAAAGGACTACAAATGTGTCCGGGCAGATGACTATTCTCTTTATGCTAAGAATGTGAGTATTGAGGACTTGAAGACAGCTGGGTAAAACCTTAAGAAAAGAGTTTGACTTCAATTTTCTGTGTCTCTTCTGATCCTGTCTATAAAACAGAGTAAGCCCACGATTGCAACAGCAATGTTTGAGACAGCCGTCTGGTGCATAGGCAAATGCAAGTGCTAACGGAGAGCCTGGTTTTTTGTTTGTTTGTTTGTTTGTTTTTCGTATATGCCCCTAGCGGGAACTGAACCCAGGACTCTCTGGTCCGAAGGCCGACGTTCCAACCGCAGAGCCACACTGGCCAGGGCATGGAGAGCCTGGTTTTGAAAAATGTTTGTTCCAGAATCTATCAACTAAGCCTTTCCTGAACTGTCTCTTTCTCCACTACGAGCCATTTTTTGTATTCTACATCCTCCTTAAAAAAAAAGTTATATCACACCTGTTTAAAACCTCTCTTGACTTTCTGTTGTCTATGAGGAATTAGAGATGAAATCACATTTACTGGAAGCCCTATGTTATGGATTAGGCACTCTTCATTCATATTATAAACTAAGTGGCCTCATTTTACAGATGAGGAAACTGAGGCTAAACAAGGTGAAATAACTCTTTCATAGTCACGCAGCATAAAATGGAAGTACTGGAATCCAAGCCCAGAGCTGTCCAATTCCAGAATGTATTACCTTTCTCATTGGGTTAGGGATATATTACAATCAATTGGAGAACTTTTGCAAAATACCCATGCTGTTATTACAACAGTCATAAACTTTTTGAGTAAAGACTACTAAACTAGTGGGACAGAGTGGAGAGTCCAAAAACAAATGTATGAATATATGGAAGTCAGGAAATGATGAAAAATATGGCTGGAGCGTAACTGCCAGTCGGGTGATTAGAACCAAGAGAAGGGCATTCACTTTTATTCTTGTCCAGGAAAACACTGGTGTGGTTGTTGTGAAGACCAATCTGTATCTTCTGGTGGCAACTTACACTGAAGGCATGTATCCTAGCGTCTGTGTGGAAGCCACAGAGAAGCTGGGTAAGTTTGTCTCCTGGTGCCTGTCTCTGTTCCTTAAGGTGATCGAGTCTTATGACTGCAAGTGACAGAGACCACATCATCCGGGCTAGATAGTAGGAAATGATTGGAAGGATACTGAGGATACTTATAGAGCCACTGGAAGACGGGAGTCCAGCTGAGCCACAGGGAAAATGGATCCCAGGGACAGGAACACTGCTAGAACTTTTCTCTGTTCTCTCATTCTGAGAGGGCCAGGTGTGTTCTTCCCATTGCGAACTGCCCCTTTCCTGGCTGGTATCGTGGCCAAGCCTCGTATTCTACCTCTTCATCTCTTTTAAGACCCCGATTTGACCAGTCTTGGATCATATGGTTTATCCTTATGTCATTCAGCTAAATGGGGAGGGAGGAGGGAGGCAACAGGGTAGAAAAACAAGAGATGTAGCTGCTGGGGACCACCCTATGAAGGGACCTTTTACAGAAAAAGAAATTACTTCACTCCAGGCAGCCAGCTTGTCGGTTTCTACTGCCATCTCCTTCCATCTCTATACAGTTTTTAAATAAAGATCTAATACAGAGCCCTGGCAGGTTTGGCTCAGCAGTTAGAGCATCCACCTGCGGTCCAGAGAGACCCGGGTTTGGTTCCCGCTAAGGGCATGTACCTCGGTTGCAGTTTGTCCCCGGCCCTGGTTGGTCGTGCGGGTGGCGGCCACTCGATGTGTCCCTTTCACATCGATGTTTCTCTCTCTCTCTCTCTCTCTTCCTCTCTCTCCCTCCCACTCTATCTGAACAAAAAATGAAAAACTGTCCTCGGGTAAGGATAAAAAAAATAATAATGAAACAAAAACTGTTTGGAGTTGCTTGAACACTCTTTTGAAATAGTAGAAGCCTCTACTTCTACTAGTAAGGGAAGTAGTAATTCCTTCATTCTTTCAACAAATACTCATTGGTGATCTATGATGTGTGCTGTGCTATCCTAATGAACTAGGAAACTGTACCTGGTCAGGGTCCATTCTCTGCCTTCCATTGCCTCTGTACATGCTGTCCTATCTTCCAGAAAGGTCTTCCTTTTCTGTTCCTGCCCCTTCACATCCAGCTGGCAAATTCTTAAAAACCACTGAAGACCCAAGTCAGATGGTAGGCATCTTGCACTGTGCTATGTATTTGATGCATACCTTTACTATTACTGCCATTATAGTTCTTTGTTTACCTAGACTGTGAGCCCCTAGAAGGCAAGAACTGTGTTGTAATCATTCTCCTTTCTCCAGTAGCTGAGATGGTGTCAACTGTTGAGTAGGCAATTAATACATGTTTGATGAACAAATAAATGAATAACCCCTACCTAACAGAATCAGGGAAGGCACCACAGATTGAATCATAAAGGATTAAATTGAGAAATTAGGTGACATCACAGAAACTACATATTCTTTTTTCTTTAGGTTCTCACATTTTTTAATACTCCCATTGTCCTATGTGGATGCACACGACAAATAACATATGGAACAAATCTGGGAGACCTCGGTGGCCTCAGGAAGATGAGTTCTAGAAGAGCTCTGGGACATGCAGTAACGTTGCATCACTAACAAAGCTTGTCACTGAAGGGGACATGCTTCACGGACATGACATTACAACTATGGGAAGGATCAACATTTAATGGTCTGACATAATTAAAACATCAACCTCAATTCTAAAGAAGGTCTATTTTGCAGGATGAAGTTGTTTTTTAAAAATTTTATTAGAAATTATATATTTTTGCTAAGAGTCACAGGAAACAACAACAACAAAAGAACTCCAAAGAGTGTATACTAGTTAGAAGGAGACAGCTGGCATCATGCCACGAAGACCCACTGCTCTGGGAGGGGTGGGCTGTCTTGGAAGTGGCTGGATGCTCATGAGGGATGGATAAAGCTGAAGCCCACTCAAGAGCCAGTTACACATCTCATCACTTCTATTTCCTTCACTTGTTTTTTAAATTATGTTTTTCTCTATCAAAAAATTACACATGATAATTATAGAAAATTTGGGAAGAATTATGGCTATTTAAAAATTGTGTTTATCATGAAAGATTTTAGGAACATAATTGATGTTTTATATCTCTATCTCCCCTGCTAGACAGTGGAACTCCTGGAGGGTGGGGATGGGTCCTATCAGTCATCCTTGTACCTCTAGAACCTAGCACAGTGCCTAGCGCCTGGTAGTTACTCACCAATGTTTATGGAATAAACAAATGAATGAATGAATCATATTATGGTGATAATTTGCTTCTCATGAATAATAACCATGTTCTGTTTCTTTCAGGAGAATATCTAAGAAGAAAAGGAAACTAAGTCATCAGAAGAATATGAAAGACAGCTTTTATTGTTTTAGAAGAAAACTATAGATCCTAAAGAAAACAGTCATGCCTTCTTTTGTTGTTGAAAAAAGAAGATCCTGATAAGGAAAAATGAGTTAATGGAGCAATTTTTCTTATTTCAAAAGATCTTTAATTGGAATTATTTAATCAACTTACTTTTTTTTAGTGTTGGTCATTAGCATGAATGTGTGAACACTAATATATCCATTTCAAGGGGTATATCTGTTGGGAGCAATTATACTATTGTCTCTACTTCTATATGTTTTTACACTTATTTGTTATTAATGGTAGTAAAATAGACATAATGCAAAATTTACCATCTTGCCTGGTTGGTGTGGCTCAGGGGTTGAGCATCGACCCATGCACCAAGAGGTCGCCAGTTCGAGTCCCCGTTAGGGCACATGCCCAGGTTGTGGGCCTGATCCCCAGTGGGGGGCATGCAGGAGGTGGCCAGTCGATGTTCTCTCTCATTGATTTTTCTATCTCTCTCTCTCCCTCTCCCTCTCCCTTCCTCTCTCTCTCTAATATCAATAAAGACAAAAAAATTACCATGTTAACTACTTTAAGTGTCCAATTCAGTGGCATTAATTTAAGTACATTCACATTGTTGTGCAAACATTACTAACCATTCATCTCCAGAACTCTTCATCATGCAAAACTGAAATTATGTTCCTATCAAACACTTGCTCCCCATTCCCCTCTCCCTCCAGCCCCTGGCAATCACTCTTCCACTTTCTGCCTCTGAATTTGACTATTCTAGGTACCTCATGTAAATGGAATCATAGAGTATTTGTCCTTTTGTGTCTGGTTATTCACTTAGTATGTATTCATGGTTTATCTCTCTGTTGTACTGTGTGTTCATGGTTTATCTGTGTATTCATGGTTTATCCATGTTGTACTGCATCAAAATTTTCTTTTTAAGGCTGAATAATATTCCATTGTACATTTATATCACATCTTGATTATTCATTCATCTGTCAATGGGCAGTTGGATTGTTTCCACCTTTTGGCTACTGTGAATAAGGCTGCTATGAATATGGGAATACAAATATCTGTTCGCGTCCCTGCTTGTAATTATTTTGGGTGTCTGCCCAGAAATGGAATAGCTATATCATATGGCATTTCTTTTTTTTTTTTTTTCCAGGAACTGCCATACCATTTTTCATAGCAGCTGCACCATTTCATATTCCCACCAACAGTGCAGAAAGATTCCAATTTCTCTACATTCTTGCTAACACTTATTTTCTGGTTTTTGATAATTGCTATTCTAATGGATATGATGAAGTAGTATCTCATTGTGGTTTTGATTTGTGTTTCTCGAATGATTAGTGGTGTTGAGCATCTTTTCATGTGCTTGTTGGCCATTTTAGTATCTTCTTTAGAGAAATGTCTATTCAAGTCCTTGGCCCATTTTTTAATTGGAATGTTTGGGGTTTTTGTTATTGTGTTGAAGGAGTTCTTTACATATGCTGAATACAAATCCCTTATCAGATATATCATTTGCAAATACTTTCTCCCATTCTATAGGTTGCCTTTTTACTGTTTTGACAGTGTCCTTTAATGCACAAAATTTTCATTTTTATATAGTCCAATTTACCAATTTTTTCTTTTGCTGCCTGTGCATTTGATGTCATATGCAAGAAATCATTGCCAAATTTAATGTTATAAACTTTTCCAGTTTTCTTCGAAGCATTTTATAATTTTAGTTCTTACATTTTGGTCTTTGATTCATTTTGAGTTAATTTTTGCTCATTGTGTAAGGTAAGGTTTCACCTTCATTCTTTTTCACTTCAAGTTTTACAAAAAGTTTCCTTAAAGCTATTAAAAAGTGCTCTGTCTCTCTCCACATTGCCCAACCTCCCACACCTCATTTAATTCCATCACCTATCACAATGTTTATCATACAGTGGGCAGTCAATGATTATCTGTGAATAAAATAGATGAATATTTAAAGTGAGGGAGGACAGGAGGTAGGAAGGAATAGGAAGGAACAGACTGGAAATGGTGTACATGTTCTAGCCCATGCTAATTATCTAGTTCCCTGAGCAGGTCTGGCCTGAGACAGCCCCTTACCCAGGTCGTGCCCAGACCTGCATAGGCCCATCTGCATTCTCAGTAACCTGAACATCACCGAACCTCTTCAGATTTGAGAATCATTCATGGGACCCTAAAGGAAATAAATCATTCTTGGGTCACCATGAAAGGGCTGAGGGGAACCGGGGCTGCTTTTCTGCCTCCCTGGCCTGCACACAAAGGAGGGGTGAGCTAGAGGAGGGATGCAGCTGCCCCCACTTCTCCCATGCATCTCCCTTATTAAAATGCTGGCACTTCCCTCCCTGGCCTCTTTTAATGGCTCAGACTCTGCAATATCCCATTTAAATGTGTGACCATTCATTTGGTCAACACACCTCAGCTGAATTGTGCCTCATGTGATAAGCACAGGGGATACTGAAATGATGAGGACACTCTCGGAATCCACTTTGGTGCAGAAGAAAGGCAGGTGCTAGAGTGTTATAAGAGAGGCTTTAGGGCAGAACAGAGGAGAGGGAGCCTCTTCTTGAGGAGCCTTTTTGTATCAGTTATCTGTCGCTGCATAACAAACCGCCCCCCACATGTTAGCAGCTTAAAACAATAATCATTTAATTCGCAACCAGTTTTGTAGGTCAGGAGTTTGATCTTGGATCGGTCGGGCAGTTCATCCGATCCCAGCTCAGTCATTCAGCTGCAGTCGGCTAGCAGACCATCAGTTTATTTTGTTGTTGTTGCTTTTCTAATTTCTTAAATATGTAGTTCCACCATTTTCTCGTGTTTCTTCTTTAATAGTGAACACGTTTAAGATGATTCTTCCTTTGTTTATATCTGCATAGTTTGTAATTCTCCCTCCTTTTAATTTCCTTTTGAACATGCACTTTGATCCAAGTATTATCTCAGAATGTGTTTCTTCTAAATGGTTAAGAGATTTTTTTGGAAGGCCAAGGGAATCTTCTTTTTACTGTTTCTAATTTTACTAAACTGTGATTAAGGAAATATGGGCTGTAAAAATCATTGCTTTTTAAAATTTGTCAAGATTCTTCTTTGGTGACAACTACTTGATTAATCTTGTAAATGTCTCATGGACCTAAAATTATGTGCTCTATTTGCAAAATATATTATATCAAGTTTACTGATTGTATTACTCAGTTCTTCTGTGTCTTCATTATTTTTTTAAATTTATTTTTAGAGAGAGAGAGAAAGAGAAACATCATATTTATGCATTCTTTGATTGCTTCTTGTATGTGCTCTGTCCAGAGATAGAACCCACAACCTTGGTGTATCAGGACAAAGCTCTAACCAACTGAGCTACCTGGCCAGGGCTTTCTACAGATTATTATATCACTCAAATTCTGAGGGAGATGTACTGAAGTCTTCCACCATGACTACATTTTTATCCATTTATTCTTGAGTATTTTTTTTTTTATCCTCACCCGAGGACATTTTTCCATTTTTTGTTCAGGTAGAGTGGGAGGGAGAGAGAGGAAGAGAGAGAGAGAGAGAAACATCGATGTGAAAGGGACACATCGAGTGGCTGCCACCCGCACAACCGACCAGGGCCGGGGACAAACTGCAACCAAGGTAGGCGCCCTTAGCGGGAACCGAACCCAGGTCTCTCAGGACCGCAGGCCGACGCTCTAACCGCTGAGCCAAACCGGCCAGGGCTATTCTTGAGTTTCTAATTTAGCTGCTATGTTGGTTTATGCATTCAGGCTCATAATTTATCGTTTTCATAGATTCTATTTTTTAAAAAAGAATTTAAAATTGATTTTTATAAAGAAGAAGGTGGGGGGAGATAGGGGGAAGAGAGAGAGAGAGAGAGAGAGAAATATCTACATGAAAGGAAAATATCAATCAAAGGATTGGCTCCTCCTGCACCATGCCCCATGCCAGGGATTGAGCCTGCAACCCCAGGCATGTGCCCCAGCCAGGAATCGAACGGGCAACCCTTCAGTGCACAGGATGACACCAACTGAGCCACACCAGCCAGGGCTAATTCTATCTTTTACTTATTTTGTTTATCCTCACCCAAGGACATTTTTGCATTTATCTTCAGATAGAGAGGGAGGGAGAGAGGAAGGAAGAGAGAGAAACATGGACATGAGAGAGACACATTGAGTAGTCACCACCCACACGACCCCAAACAGCGCTGGGAACAAACTGCAACCGAGGCACGTGCCCGTAGCGGGAACTGAACTCCAGTCTCTGGGCCGACACTCTAACCACAGCGCCAAACTGGCCAGGGCTAACTCTATCTCTTAAAAGTCATCTGGCACTGGCCGGTTTGGCTCAGCGATTAGAGTGTCGGCCTGCGGTCCAGAGAGACCCAGGTTCGGTTCCCGCTAAGGGAACATATCTTGGTTGCAGCTTGTCCCCGGCCCTGGTTGGGTCCTGTGGGTGGCAACCACTCGATGTGTCCCTTTCATGTCGCTGTTTCTCTCTCTCTCTCTCTCCCCCCCTCCCACTCTTTCTGTTCAAAAAATGGGAAAATGTCCTCGAATGAGGAAAAATAAAATAAAATAAAAGTCATCTGGCAGTCTCTGGGTTTTAATAGAATTTATCTATTTAAATTTATTGTCATAACTAATATGTTTGATTTTATTCTTCCATTTTATTGTTAAACATTTTTGTTTCCTCTTTTTCCTTTTATTTCCTTTGTTGGCTTTACTAACTGGTCATCATTGTTATTTTTTTCCCTTGTTAATTTGGAAGTTCTCTTGTTCAAAATCAGATATATTTCTACTAAATATAATCTATTTCACCATTTTCTCATCAAATCATCTTTTAATGCAGTGAACCATTTCACTTTGTGGAATCTGATACAGCTTAGGAAAACCTTATTCTCTTATTTGTTTAACTATTGAGTCTTCTTTATTCATTCCTCTTCCTCTCTTTATAACTCCTATTATTCTCATAGCAGAGTCTCCTGAGTTCATTGTGCGA